TTTTTTTTTTTTTGTCTTGGAAAAAATGGTTCCAGCTCTGCCTTGATTCAGAGCAGAATCTTTTTGAAATTTAACAGTGTGTTAGAAATGTAGCTCCAGTTTGTATATATTTTTTTTCTAATAGCTATAACTAGAACATATCTTCAAATCGTTTGTTCTTCCTGGTCTATGTAACTCTCTGCCTTGAAGACAGAGGGTATATCTTGCCATATCTACTCTGAAGGACAGCAAGGAAAAAAAAGATAATTTTAATCTCTCTTGTTCTAAAGCTTTGCTGTACCACGGTATTTGGCAGTCTGATATGTTCTGGTCTCTAAAGAAATTCTTAAGACTCGGTGTCTTTATTTTGCAGCTCATCCATCGCAAACATGTTTTTGCATAATATAAAAAAATACTTTTTATATGTTTACCTCTTTGACTTCAGTCCAAGTAATGGCACAACCATAGTGTGAAGTAACTGATATGCTAATGTTCTGCTGTGGCACCTATTACCCCAAGTAGAAATGATTAGAAAAGGAGATTTCATTACAAATGATGATTATGCTCCTTAAAAATAGTCCATTCTTTCCTTAACTCTTGGCCGCCTTCTGTATTGTGCTGGCATATCTTTTTGACTAGGCTCTTCCTAACCTGTGCAAGTGGGCTTTTCCTTTTCTGTAACTAACTTTTCTAAGTAGGTAGGTATGCTTAGTTGCAGCTCAGTAAGTATTAGCCAAGTGTACTAAAGTTTGCTATTGATGCTGTTTTCCAAAATGTACCATGCAATGAACAATCTGCAGTAAGCTGTCTTAAAGATCTTGGTACTGAGAGTAGCAAAGTTCCTTAAGTAATAATGTTTTATTATGTTTTCTCATGGTGTATTGCTACTTTAAGAATGAGTAACCTTTTTGTGAAGAATGAGAGCTTTAATTGGCTCACGCTCTCTCTCTCTCTTTTTTTTTTTTTTTTTTAAACCCCACATTGTGCCTTTATAAAGAGATAGGCCATTGACTTTTGAGTCAATTTTTTACTATGGTAGTTAAAAATGGAT